TTTCTCCCACCTCATGGGAGGGTTCAAGGAGAATCGTCCTTTCTGTCTGAGCCCTGGATGCCATTCCCCATTCTTCCTCTAGGAGTGTGATCCAAATAAACCTTCTCTACCATGTCTTCAAAACCACCTCCTACTCTGATTTAAGAGCTAGTGGTAGAAAATGTCTTAGATGACAAACTGTCTCCATGGGCCATTTTGCCTGGAGAAAATGTCATCTGGGCAGCCACATTGGATGAGGAGAGACCCCAAAATGTAAATGGCTCAACAGAAGAAATAAAAAATAATTTGCTGAGGTTAGCTGGTGGGGAAGAGGAGGGTCTTGACACATTGCACAATGAAGCAGGAGCCCAAGTAGGAGAAAGAACCAAAGGGAATGTTCTTTTTCTTTTTTGAGACAGAGTCTCTTTCTATTGCCCAGCCTGGAGTGCAGTGGTGCAATCTCAGCTCACCACAACCTCCACCTCATAGGTTCAAGTGATTCTCTTGCCTCAGCCTCCCAAATAGCTGGGACTACAGGTGTGCACCACCATACCTGGCTAATTTTTCTATTTTTAGTAGAGATGGGGTTTCACCATGTTGGCCAGGCTGGTCTCAAACTTCTGATTTCAAGTGATTCTCCCGCCTTGGCCTCCCAAAGCACTGGGATTACAGTTGTGAGCCCCCACACCCGGACCCAAAGAGAAGCATCTGAGTGCCACGTTGGCCAAGGGACTTTGAAGAAAGAGACTCACATTCAGTGCTGTGTTTTCTATAACAAGCTACGCTATAATATCCGCTGTGAAGTCTGCTGTGTGTTGCTTGCGTGAAAGTCTGCTGTGTGTTGTCTTGAACTGGTGACACTTTGAGAAGCAAAACATTTGAAGTAGTGTCCTGCAGGCAGTACGTTGGGAAGAGGCACTGCTTTTCTAGAGTGTGGAAGCTGAGATGGATATAGTGGAAGCATGAGCCTGAGAGGATTTGAGAAAACACGAGTTACCTCTGCTTTCCAAGGCACTTTGGTGTGTTAGGAGGAATCCTAAATTTGTCAGGGCATGTGGGATGGGCATTGGAGCCTATTTTTACCTAATTCACAGTCCAACAGTGAAAATTATTTGAATTATCTCAATACCAGACTAAACTTGACCTCAGCTACCTGAAGTACTTGGGTTGCCAATAGTTGAATCTCTCCTTGCCCCATGCTCTCAATTTTTTTTTTACTACTGACTTTTCAACTCATTCTCAGTCTCTGCCTTCATAAGCCTCTCCCATTTACCATAGAATTTACTTTCTCCTCTGCTGTAACCTTGGCTCCATTTCCTGGCTTCTGGTTTTCTCTCTCCTTTGCAACTCATCAGTTCAAAAAGGTTTCCTGGGTAAAAAATTTCCCCTAGGTCAGTCAGCTCCTGGAAACACCCCTTCTGTTTCCTTCTCCACCCTCACTCCTCATTCAGTCTCTCCCAGGCCCATGTGCAAAACTGGGAAGAAATTGGAACTTCTGTAGATGTAAGGGAGAGGGTGCATTGGTCAGAGTCCAGCTGCAGACAGCAGAACACATTCCAGCCAGTTTAAAGCAGAAAGGGATTAAGGGGTATTCAGCGACTTACCAAATTATTGGGAAGATTGTTTATAGGACCAGCTCTCAAAGCCATACTACAAAACAGGGACACAAAGGCAGCCACAATCTCCCATAAACATGACGCTGCTCAAAAAATTTGAAAGTTCCTGCAATAGCTGCATGCTCTAGAAATACCCCATCCAAGCCACAATCAGGGAGGCAGTAGAAATAAGATACACAAGACACCAACATGACCAGGTGATACAGCATGATAAGGAAGTCCCTGCTATTTGGCAGCTTCAGGACTTTGACATATCTGCTACAATCCACACTTATAAAATAGATGGCTGAGGGCTGAGTACTGAGACCATACTAATTCTCCCGTAGTGGTGTTTGCCTCCAGAAATAACAGAAGCAGAAGTGTGGCATTCATCTCACTAGCCATCTCAAAGCTTTCACCAGTGATTCCAATTGGTAGAATCCGAATAATATCTAGAACTCTATCGCAAGATAGCCTGGAAAATACTGTTTGACTTTCTGACCCTCTGCTGTACAGGCAGACACACAAAAAGGTGGGAAGGGATGTTGTGCTTGAATGAATTGTGTTTACTATAGTGGGTTATCTTTGCTCTTCAGTGGCTCTTCAGGATCCCCTTCTCTAAATAGATTTATTGCCCACCTCTTTGGTTTGACAGAGGATAGTCCTGTTTGGCTCAGGGAAGGATGACTCATAACCAGGCTATTATTTTTCACAGATTGCATCATAGCCTCTTCCAACTTGTTGCCACAAATGTAGTAAGGCTAAGGGTAGATAAATCCCACTCCATGACACTGGGCCATTGCATAAATTTACTTGCAGTCCACACCATAGATGGCATGGCGGCCACCCTGTAGATCTCTTTTTTGGGACAGAGATCAAAATCAGAAAGGATAAAACCTTTCAGACTTTTTTTCTAGGAAAATAGAAGTAACAGGTCAATTTATTTTTAGCACCATGTCTGAATGATCTTCATGTCTCTTGCAGCTGGAAACAGCACACGCTATCTTTTCTCTTGTTTTTGTTCTGGTCTTTTTGTTTCAATCTTTCTATGTTCTCCAGTTAAGTCCAGTTGGTTCTAGTCATTAGTAGACTCTTCCTGAGCTAGTCCAGTTCCATTGGAAACAGGAAATACTGGAAACCTCACTAGAAAATAGAGTCCGTTTCTGGCCTAGTTTTCGCAGAGTTTTGATGAGCCTCCAAAGGTTTGGTTGCTTATTCAGATTGAGCTTCTGAATCTCTTGAGATTCACCCCTTGCAACTGGTAAGCCAACAGCCTGCAGAGAAAAAAAAAATCACACATTTGCTGGCCGATACTTGGAAAAATGTCTGTCTTTTCTCTGCCAGATTTACTAATTTACATGTGTTCCAAAGCTGAGGTTAACTGGTTGAAACTGGAGAGCTGATTTTTAACAATTGAACAATCCAACAGTGAAAATTATTTGCATTATTTCAATACCAGACTAAACTTCATTTATTCTTACTTAAGGTTGAAGGGAATATGTGGATTATTAAAAATTATAGGGATTGAGCCCAAAAATACAGCTTTTCTGCAGAAGCTGGATTTTCTTAAAGAAAAATACAACTTAAAATTTATAATAAATGTGAGGGATTGGATCATAGAATCAGAGTATTTGTATTTAGAAGGGAATTTGCAGGTTCCAATATTCCTGATAGGTTATCTTCTGTTATCTTGGGTAAGTGGGTGTTACTGTAAATAAGATTTAGGTTTTCATCCAATGTTAGAAAATTCTTGGCTGGGCGCGGTGGCTCACGCCTGTAATCCCAGCACTTTGGGAGGCCGAGATTGGTGGATCACGAGGTCAGGAGATCGAGACCATCCTGGCTAACACAGTGAAACCCCGTCTCTACTAAAAATACAAAAAATTAGCCGCGCGTGGTGGCGGGAGCCTGTAGTCCCAGCTACTCGGGAGGCTGAGGCAGGAGAATGGCGTGAACCCAGGAGGCGGAGCTTGCAGTGAGCCAAGATCGTGCCACTGCACTCCAGCCTGGGAGACAGAGCGAGACTCTGTCTCAAAAAAAAAAAAAAAGAAAGAAAATTCTTAGCAAAACACAAGGATGCAATTGTTTAGAGGAAGGCAATGACATTTATTACAAAAGCCCCACGATATTAAAGTATCTCTTCATAAGGATTTGATGTTGGTTCAAATTGTGGGACTAGTTATATGAAGTTGTGAATGTTATACATTCTTTCTGAGTTTATTTCTTCATCAATGTATAATTCAACCTTTTCTATTCTCACCAACATGTTGCTTAAAACAGCTGAATTTAAGGATGATAAAGAATATTCCATTATTTATTATTCCATCAAGCCAATAGAATATTCCTCAAATATTTCTGAGAGTCTTAGGGTGCCTTTCATTAACCCCCATACAAATCCACTTAGCTATCATGTCAACCATCATGTGGAACGCACTTTTCTCTTTAATTTTTGATGGGTACCTTTATATCTGCTGGCTGCTAGTGAATAGTGCTGTCTCATGATATGCAGCACCTCTCCAATGGCATATTTGTCCTGGTGTGGCCGTCAATATACTACATGCCTTGATGTGTCAAAGCTTTAAGGTGGTTTGTAGCCAAGTGCAGATAAGACTACCTCATTCTATGTATTACTTAGGATGTTTGTGGTTGAGAATTACTAGAAAACTCAACCAAATATGGCTCAAACAAGTGGAAATTGTCTGTTGAACAATAAAGTATATGTTCAAAGGTAAGGAAGCATATGTACCTGTGAGGATTAGGTTAGGTAGCAAGAAACAGAGACCAAAACTAACAGTGTTTTAAACAAGCTTTGTTTCTCTCTCACATATATAAGGCCAGAGATAGGAAAGCCAGGACTTCTATAGTAACAGCACTCAATAGAATCTGGAGAAACTTGCATCTTCTTCTAGACTCCTCCCAGCTCTGCCATTTCCTAAATCAGTGGCATTGTCCCCATGGACTAAATTGGTAACTGGAGCTCCAGCCATTGTATTCATGCTCCCAGCAACTGGAAGAAGAGAAAGATGAAGATGTCTGTGACCTGGTGTTCTTGTAATGAAGGTTCCCAGAAGTTGCCACATGACACTTCTGCTTCTATTCCCTCAGCCAAAGCTCAGTCACACGGACACGCCAAACTGCAGAGAGATGATGTCTTTGCTCTGGATGGCCAGATGCTCAGCAAAACCAGCTCAGCAAAACCCCATGGAAAATGGGGAGAACAGTTTGGGAACAGAATTGTTGTTGACTACCATGGACTTCAACTCTGTTTTCCTGTGAGTCGCTTGGCTTTGCCTACTCAGTGTTTGGTTTCATTTTAATTTGGTAACAAAACTATTGAAGCGGTTTCAGAACATGCCCATTGTGACTGTGTGCAAAGAGAAGAGGTGGCTTCCGGACATTCTCCTAAAGGAATGTGAGAGAATTTTCTCACAAGACCCAATCAAGGCTGGAACGAGTCTTGCTCACTTTTGAGCCAGTCAATGGCAAAGGGGAAAAGACTACTCCTAGATGGGTCAAGTGCACCCCCTGACTGAAGAGGAGGTCCATTTCCCCAGAGTAAGCTTCTTGGTCAAAAAGGAAGAGTAGATAACTGAACAAAGTTGGGGTTATGTTAGGAAAAACAAAGAAACAGAATAGATGTTGGGCAGGGGACTCTCTGGTCTGGGCCAGAGACGGGTGGCACTAAAGCCCACTGTTTCTGGCTCATGGGCACACGCAGCTTCCAGAGAAATGACTCTTAAAGTTTTATTTTTATTTATTTATTTATTTATTTATTTATTTACAGGGTCTCACTCTGTCACCCAGACTGGAGTGTGGTGGCCCAAACATGGCTCACTGCAGCTTTGACCTTCCAGGCCCAAGCAATCCTCCCATCTCAGCTTCTTGAGTAGTTGGGACTACAGGAATCCACAACCTCACCTGGCCAACTCTCTTTTGAAAATTTTTTGTAGAGATAGGGTCTTGGTATGTTGCCCAGGCTGGGTCTTTGTGTTATTTATTTAGTTGTGTTATTTTAGTTGGTTGATGTTTTCTTTTACATTCCTTTGTCGTCTTAGGACCCAGACATGAATCTTATGGGTAGATCCAAAGATGTCAATAGTAGGCATCACATTTTGCTGACCTCTAAAATAGGGTATTCATAACCCGGTCAAGATCCTTGTGTTCAGCTCTCCCTTCCCTTAATGTAAGTTTCCTGTCATAAATTTCTTCACTCTTTCATGCAACCAGATTCCACAGGGCATAGCGAGATGGAGGGAGCTCCTATCCAAGTTGAAACTTACATTATATATAAAATGGAAATAGTAGTCACCCATTCCAAAAGGTTGTTACGAAACTTAAATATATGGCCTTTGAGTGTAGGTTCTCACTTCTTCACACCATCAAATCCCCAGACAGCAGGATATAACACATGGTAGTAAATAACACATAGTTAGATGTTTTGGCATTAGATTAAACAAGATAGCACATGTAGATGCTTAGCATACAGTAGGCATTTTATAAATGTGAGTTCTTTTCCTGCAGAGGCTCTTGATGTCATCTGTTACACCTATTTCAGGGGAATTTCAATACCTGTGGTCTGTGTCCTGAGTTCCTGGTTCATATCTAACATCAAAGCCAAATTCATTTTTAAACTACCCCCAAACTCATGTCCCGGGCTGAAACTTATAGGAAGATGATTTATTTAATTTTTTCCTGGGAGAGAAATGAACCCAACAGTAAAAGAAAGAGTATTCTTTCACTGTCACTCAGTGGAGAGAACTTCTGTTGAGGTTGTGAACATGAAGAGTTGAGTCCAGTGGGGCGAGCACTAAGCAATATGGAAATCAAACAGCCCTGGGTAAATTGGCTTGACATTTGCAGTAGTTATTGAATGAAACCGTATTTTAATGAAGAAAGAGGTCATTGTCAGTAAATGCAATTTAACTATAATGAGGTTGTAAAAACTTGCATTTTATTATTGATCCTACAAGAACTATAAGTAAGAAAAGAAATCATGGGAATTATAGGTGACTTTCTTTTTATTAGGCAATTACAGTTTTTTTCAGACAAGGCATGGATGTTTTCTGAGGTGTTTGAACTTTGTCTAATCATATAAAAATTACCATAGAGCATTTGCCATATTCTTTCTTTCTTTCTTTCTTTCTTTCTTTTTTTTTTTTCCATTTTGAAAGGTAGTTGTCCTGTAGGTGCTTTTTATATCGGCCATAAAGTGTACTCTTAATGGTAAAGGCTCCCTGATATAAGTTTATATATTTGTTCCTGTATGGCATTGACATCCATGAAATCAGATTGTATTAAGTTATTCACTAGGAGCAATGTGAAAGGCTGCCTCATCCAATAGAGTTGATTTTATTTTTTTTATTTCCCAGGAAGATGACTTCAGTCAGTCATTCCATACCTAGGGTGAGATTGGGGTCAACTCTTCCAGGAGGTGGTTAGAAGACGGACTCCCCTTTCTCCTCAAGCCTCATTCAATGGTGGCTCCTCCCTGGGCCCGGAGCCAAGGCCCAGTCTTGGGAAAGAAATCTCTCTGTACAGTTCATCAGAAACGACATAAAACTTACAAACCAGATTTTTTCCTTTGGAAAAGTTGCTAGTGTTTTACCAAGTTCTTTTACACATCAAAATCATTTCTCACTTCTGCATTCTCTTCACTTCTAATTTTGAATTTCTCATTTGCTCCTCCATGGGCATCCATGGATCATGGTTTTGCAGTGATGAACAGGACCAAGAAGTCCTCTCCTCTCACATGACTCACGTGTTCAAGAAAGAGACAGACTGAAACTGAGTAAAGAGAAAAGTAAAAAACTATGGTAATAACAGATCATAAAAGTGCTGTAAGAAAGTGAAACAAGATAAGGTGGTAAAGAGGGTTTGAGGGCGACATTAGCTGGAGTGCTCCAAAGGCCTCTCGGAGGAGGTTACATTTGCTCTGGGACCTGGTTGAAGGTATTCTGTCACTCTCTACCTGGAATCACAGCTATTCATTTTAATCTTCCATTCTAGATTCTAAGTTCCTTAAGGGCACTGTCTTTCTCTAACTGATCTTTGTATCCTCTAGAGCTCACAGCCTTATGCCTTCTACTTGGGAGGTGTTCAATCAACAGTTGCTAAATGAATGACGATGATCTTATATTGACCCACAAAGCCCTCAGAGCTAAGAATTGTTACCCACATATACAGAGTGGCCAAGTCACTTGATTAAAGTAGTAAGTGAGGTACCACCACTCCATCATGCTTTTCTTTCTGGAAGCCCATAGATAGTTCTTTACAGCAATGTAAATGTAATTTTAGGTAGGGGATTTCATGCTTTTTGAAATTATGGAAATACCAGTTTAAAAAATACAGAACACCACTACAAGATCAAAAAGTTGACAATTCTTCACTCTGACTGCTGGGAGATGATGTTTTAGGTAGGATACAGAACAGGAGAATGAAACTATATTCTAGGATATAGTTATCAGTTTTTGAAACCTCTGAGTGGAGAACTGCTTTAGATCACAGACATAAAAGGTTTGGAAGCTTACAATTTAATTCTAATTATCTAGGACCTAGAAAATTCCAACACTTTCCATGAAGTGGTACTAGGAAGTGGGGAAGTAGTACTGTGGAAATTCAGGATGAAAATGAGGAAAACTCTTCAGTTACCATCTGGTTTACTCTGATATGACTTCATTGCTCTTTAGTGACGTTTACTGGGCTTTGTGAGATTCACCTTTTAACCTACGTTGGTGTATTAGAGTTCTCCAGAGAAACAGAACCAAAGGGATATATATATAGATGAGGGAGTTGCTTTTATTACTAGGAATTAGCTCACACAATTATGAGAAGTTCTAAGATCTGCTGTTTTCAAGGTGGAGAGTCAGGATAGCTGATGGTATAGTTCTAGTCCAAGTCCAAAGCCCTGAGAGGTAGGAGAGCTGATAGTGTAAGTTTCAGTCTGAGTCTGAAGGCCTGAGAACCAGAAGAGCTGCTGGTGCAAGTTCCAGTCCAAGTCCCACACAGAAGGCTGGAGAACACTGATGTTCCAACTTGAAGACAGTCAGACAGAGAGCAAATTCTTTTTTATTCAGTCTTTTGTACTCTTTAGGTCTTCCATTGATTGGATGAGGCCCACCCACATTGTGGAGGTCAGTCTGCTTTACTCAGTCTATCGATCCAAATGTTACTGTCATCCAGAAACATCCCCACAGACATACTTACAACAATGTGTAACCAAATATCTGGGCACCCTGTGGCCCAGTCAAATTGACACGTAAAGCTAACCATCACAGATGGAAATTTGTGTTTCTAAGGGAACCTATCCCAAGGAAGATGTCCACAGGTAAGATTTTTTGAACTATTGATCGGAAGATAAATGTTTCATTGGAGAAGGAAAAGGTATGAAGCTTAGATTACAGCGATGGAATGTGCTAAATTTGGGAATCTAGGAAAATTTGCACCAGAGAACAAGGCATTGTGGGAGAACAGAGAAGAGGCTGTTGGATGTTCGCATTATTTTGAGTGCAGCAGTGTGATGAGCCAAGAACACAATGGGCATTCAGTTAGATGGAGCATGCCTGGTACTGTCTCCTCATGTGAATGACATTGTCATGAGAAAAGCCGCCTGCAAATGAAGGAAGCTGCCATTAGGAGTGGGCAACAAGGAGTCCAGGAACATCACTTTGGGAAAGGTCTGTTGATGAATTTAGGGAAGGTTTGTGCAATGAACACAGGATGAGATTACAAAAATCTTATGATGCAAATCCAAATAATTGTACTTGAGGATGAAGATTCTGAAATTTCTTGAACAGTGCAGACCTGGCACAGTTTTTGCTGACTCGGTCACAGGCAGTATAAACTTAATACACATTGCTTCACTTTTTCCACATTGTGTTTTTCCTGTACATAGGGCACCAGGAACTATTCCTCTCATGACTTTATTAGATTGGCCTGAACTATCAGCAACTGGGGTGGCTTGCTGCTATTATCACCTTTCCTGTTTCTCATTGCTACCCAGGAGAGTCTAGTCCACCAAAAATGGTTACAATCAGATGATAGGCAACTTCCTGGTGCTTACACCCTTGGACAATCCCCTTCCCCTGAGCATGAGTTGGATTCACTAACTTTTAACAAATGGAATATGGCAAAAGTGATAAGATGTCGTTATGAAAAGATTAGGTTATAAAAAGACTGGCTTCCACACTCTCTCAATCTCTTTTAGATCCCTTGGCATAAGGAAAGCAAGCTTCCCTGTTGTGAGCAGCCCTATGGAGAGGCCCATGTGGCAAGCAGCTGGTATCTTAAGCCAGCAGACAGCAAGGGCCTGAGGCCTGCTGACAGTCACGTGGGTGAGCATGGAAGTGGACCCTTCTCCAGCCGAGCCTTCAGATGACTGCAGCCTCAGCTGATATCTTGGTTGCAGCTTCAGGAGATACACTGAGTTGGAAGACTTCAGTTAAACCTTAACTGGATTCATGACTCACAGAAACTGTGAAATAGTAAATGTTGTTTTTGGCCACTAAGGTGTGGGATAGTTATGCAACAATAGATAACTAATATATATAGAAAGAAGGGGAAATCAACAGAGATATGTGAAAGAGAAAGAACATACTTCAGCGAAGACTTCCGAACTTGCAGTAAGTTATAAAACAGCACATGACTAAACCTGCAGAGCTGTGCTTCTGAAAGCTACACTTGTCACTTGGTACATTTGTTTAAACTCTTTATAAGTTGTAAGGGACTTAGTACTCCTAAAAATATTTTTCTCCTTTCTATCACTTTACTGATATTCTCTGTTTAGGGAGACATTTTGTTGTTACACATTATTCTTTACTTCTTTAGACAATTTCCTTGGTTCTTTGAACATATTTAAAACAATTGATTTGAAGGCTTGGTCTAGTAAGTCCAAACTCTGGGCTTCCGCAGAGACAATTTCTATGACTACTTTTCTTCTTTGTATGTAGGCCATATTTTTTTTGTTTCTTTGCACATCTTGTATTTTTGTTGTTGTTGTTGAAACTAGGCATTTTAGATAATATAATGTGGCAACTCTGGAAATCACATTCTCCCCCATCCCCCTGGCTTCACATTGTTATATTGTGATATGGCTTATCTATGTCCCCACCCAAATCTCACCTTGAATTGTAATAATACCCATGTGTCAAGGGTAGAGATAATTGAATCATTGGGGGCCATTTTCCCAATACTGTTCTCATGGTAGTGAATAAGTCACATGAGATCTGATGGTTTTATAAATGGGAGTTCCCCTACACAAGCTCTCTTGCCTGCCACCATGTAAGATGTGCCTTTGCTTCTCCTTTGCCTTCTGCCATGATTGCGAGGCCTCTCCAGCCATGTGGGACTGTGAGTCCATTAAACCTCTTTCCTTTATAAATTATCCAGTCTCGGTTATGTCTTTATTAGCAAAGTACAGACTAATACATATTGTTTCTCCACTTTGTGACCTCTCTGAATTAATTCTGTCAAGTCTGTATTCCCCGTCATCATTAATTCCTCTATTGTTCTGCCCACCCACCAATATTCATTAGCAAGTCATTAGGAAAATCTCTCAGCTCTAGCTCTAAAATCTATGCCCTTTCTTCCAGCTGCACTGCTACCACTCTAGCCCAAGACATCTGCTTCTCTCTTCTAGGATTCTCCCCAATGGACTTCTTGCTTCTGCCTTACCCTTCCATCTTCTGTTCTCCACACAGCATCCAGGATGGTCTTAGGTTATAAAAAGACTGGCTTCTACTTGGTATCCTCCACCAAGGCTAGCACTGTGCTTTGCACATGGTAGATGCTTAATCAATGTCTACTTGCACATAGTAAATACACTTCTGTTACTCCTCTGCCTATTCCCCTCCAGTGGCTTCCCTTCCAGAGCCCCTGAGGGCCTGGCTGATGCGGCCCCTCTCTACCTCTCACATCTCCTGTCCTTCCACTCTTTTCCTTACTTCCTGGACTCCAGCTCCCTGGTTTTTCTTCAGTTGCTCAGACACACCAGGCTGACTTTCATTTTGGTGTCCTTGGACTTTTTTTCTTGCTTGGAACATTCAGCCCAACACCTTCATGGGATTACCTCCTTTGTATTAGGGACTTCTCAGCTCCAATGTCACATGCTCAGAGAGGCCTTCCTTACCATGCTGTCTAACGGAGTGACTCTCCCCAAGTTCATTTCAACCCCATGGTCCTGTCTGATGACAATCACAGCAGCTATTACTTTGGAAATTATCTTGTTTGTTTAATTGGTTGTCGTAGTGATACTCTACCTTTTTCTTGAGCATATAAACATCACAGGAGCAGGGATCTTAACTGTATTATTTTTCCGCATCTGGACAAGTGCTTAACACATAGAAAGTAATAGGTGCTCAATAAGGTATTTGTTGAATGAATGAAGAAATAAATGAATGGGCATATATGCAAAAGTAGTAAAGCAAACTGTGTGGGCTCAGGTCCACATTAGGAGGAAGGACTGAAATAGTAATGGTAGCCATAGTAATAACAACTATAAAAATATCAGATATGACTAGTCTCTGGGAGCAATCTTCATTGTCATCTCATTTTCCATGAAAGAGAACTTGGCTTTTT